TGTTTGCTATATGATATATTTAATTGAAATTGCTGTTCCGAACAACCAATGACCCATAAAGAAAAATCTTGAAAATGATCAGGTGTGCCCAAACTTTTTCATACCACTGTATATATTCAGAAACTCAATATATACGCAAAACAGAAACTCAACACTCTCGGACTGAGCTCCACCCTCTGTAACTGGGTCCTGGATGTTCTGACAGATAGGCCTCCATCCATGGCGTCGCCTCCTCTTTAGTCACGCTCAGCACCGGCTCCCCCCAGGGCTGCGTGCTGATCCCCCTATTCACTCTGCGCACAGACGACTGCTCAGCACTACATCCGAACTGTCTAATTGTATAGACTGTTTAGTTTGTGGATGATACAGCCGTGGTTGGACGCATCATAGCCAACGACGAGTCCAACTACAGGCAGGAGGTGGAACATCTGGAGGGTTGGTGTAGAGAAAGACCAAGGAGATGATCATTGACTTCAGAAGAGGGAGACAGCCCCCCTACCCTGCACATTGGAGGAACAGTGGTGGAAGTGGTCTGGTACACATCTCCGATGACCTCACCTGGAGAACCAACACTTCCTGCCTGATCAGGAAAGCACACCAGCGTCTCTACTTCCTGAGGAGACTGAGGCTGGACTGGGCAGCTCAGATCTTACTTCTTTCTACAGATGTGTGGTGGAGGGCGTCCTGTCCTCCTGCATCATTGTGTGGCAGGGCAACTGCTCGGCGGCGCAGAAGAAGGCTCTGCAGGCTCTGCAGAGGGTGATCAAGGCTGCACAGAGGACCATGAGACCCACCCTTCCCACTACCATCAACATCTACACCGCCTCCCCTCAGGCAGACAGTTATGGAGCATCAAAGGCAGGACCAGCAGACTGAGGAACAGCTTATTCCCTGAAGCTGTGAGACTGCTGAACTCTGGTGGACCCCTGTAAACCCCCCACCTCACACACCTCCCAACACCCCCTGCTCCCCACTCACAATCACTCCACGGACAGTACATAATTTGTGGCTGCACATTTCCTCACAACTTCCTTATATGTTGATCTTGTTGTCTTTGCCCAATGTTGTTGTTTTTGTCTTCCATTGCACAATTGACACTTTCCTCTTTCTTCGAACTCTGTACTCTTTTGAACTCTTTTCTTACTTGTACTTGATCCGGGACCAGGGAAACTAATTACATCCCATGTATGTATATGTATTCAAAGATTCAGTTTATTTATATGGGAACTTCAGCGTGGTACCAATAACGTTAGGTCAGTGTATTGATCTAAAAATGTAACACTATATATTATAGACAGGATGATTTTAGAAAATGTATACAAAATAACTGAAGAGATTATTAATATATATAAAAAATTACATTTTGCACAGATGGCTATTTTTTTCTGTACCATAATTAACATTTCAGTGTTAAGGTCGTTGTCTTGTTGAAGTATCCAGCCCCAGCAAATAACAGGGAATGTTACATGTGCCAAGCTGTACTGATGTGATATTTGATTTTCTGAATCAATGATAAAACAGTCAAAACAATTAACAAACCTTTTCAAATTTCTATGTTAATTTCTGTTAAATCAGTCTCTTATGTTACCCCTCTAATGTTGTTTGTAAGCTCTTCTTTCTTTGCACCCTGCAGTGTTTTCATCCTGGGACTACTACGTCACAATGCCCATGCCTGCCTCCACATTCACCCTGGCAGTGGGCCACTGGTGCCAGGCAGCAGAAATTCCCCGTGTTTTGGAAGGTGGGGTGAGGAACAAGGTGTACTGCCGCAGGACTGCCCCACCTGTGGCTGGGTCTGTGAAACAGACTGAGGATGAGCTCGTGCTCAAGTGCAAAACTTCATTTAGTGGAGAAATAATGGGCCATGTAGTCCAGACTCGCAGGTATGTTATTACTTTTTTCTGTTTTAATGTCTGTGTTATTCCTCCATATTCCAAGTCTGCTCTGACTGCAGGTCTGGCCCTTCAGCATTCCATGGTGAAACTTTACTTTGGCCCTGCAAGAAAAGGTGCAGGCGAAGTTTCAGGTGATGGATAGAATGTAGAGCTCAATTAGCGTTTTATTAAAGCCATGACCATAGTACATTGACTCCAATTTAGAGGAATGATATTTGGGAGAGAAAAAGAAAGTGAAGTGTGTTAAATTTTATAGAAGTACAGGATATAGAGCACAGACTGTGACATTACTGAGAGAGGGATAACTGTGGGCAGGGCAGCGTTGAGCTGGGGTCTTCCTCTTCACTAGCCAGGGGGCTGGAACTGCTGCCAATGGTTTCCAGTAATCATACTCCTCCTTCTCCTCCTTCCCTCATGGTTTCCCTCCAGCGGCAGCCCAGCTGTAGTGTGCTACAGGCCCCAGGAATCTCCTGCTACAGGGAAGGCCTTTATTTTCATTGACTGGGTATTGGATTTAGGAGCAGTGAGGCAGTATATCAACACATACTTTTTTTAGGGATCACTGTGGTTTGTCTTTGTGACATGTCTGTACTCTCCATTTCTACTGCTTCCGCTGAAAAGCAGCCTCTTGAGTGTGACAATGTATTAACTCATTGTTATTAACCTCAGATTTCACTTATCTCCCTGTTTTAATCTGCTGCAGTGGAGACCAGACCACCTTCTCAGACTCTACATTTTCTCACACTTCCATGGAGGTTGAGGAGCTTTCTGTAACTGATTATTCAGGCATGGATGGTGACGGAGTCTCTTGTTCCCATGGCGACTACCTTTGCCGATTTACTGAGCAGTCAGCTTGGTCCCAGCGGGTGATACCACACCGAGTGTTTGGTCCTGTCAGCTTGATGCACAAAGCCCAGGTGGAGTTTTCATAAAAAAGAAAAAGCGAACTGAAGCCTAAGCTTATTATATTTAAGTTGATTTTTTTCACTTTTTTCACACACCTTTTTTTTCAACCCTATGTCGTCAAAGAGAACGGTTAGCAAAAGTTGAGAGCAGTTTGAACCCTGTCATGTTGAACTGTGAGTTGGTTATATAGTAGATGTTAAAACACTGTTTATGTAGTGTTGTGCTCAGGGTGGCTGATAAAAAAACCCCAACTTCCCTGTTTCTGTTTACCTCTGCTGCAGACAGTTAGCCCCAGAACTAATGCCACTGTTTGGAAAAAAAGCAGTTGCTCACCTCGGTGATGGGTTAAAAGCAGAGGCTCAATTTTGTTGTATCCCTGTGTTACAATGCCAATAAAGACTATAATAATTAATATTAATAATAACAGTGAAATAAATATTTCTGTGTAAATAATATCTTGCTCTGTAAATATCCCTTGTTACAACGTGGACACTTGCGGCTTATATAGATGTGCAGCCTATATTCAGGTGTACTCAATAGTTTGGAAATTACAGTAATATTTGTGCCGCACAAACAGATTTATCAAATTCTAATAAATCTCCCTGAAACATTTTACAGTATATGCAATGCAGTCGTAATGCTTAGAACAGTGGTTCTTAACCTTGTTGGAGGTACTGAACCCCAACAGTTTCATATGCACTTTCACCGAACCCTTTGGTGATGGCCAAGCGGCGGACGTCATCACAACTCATATGAGTTGGGAGACTGAGACTGACTCACCGAACCCTGGGATTCGATCAAACCCAGGTTAAGAACCACTGGCTTAAAATATTCACTTAAGTTTATTTTCTGGATCACAAACTGTATAATAAACATGTTGTACACATGTAATATTGAAATCAGTGGTTCCTGTGTGTTTTCCCTTTGTTGTTCTGATCAACTTGTGTCTTATTATTTGCAGGAAGGAGTTTTGAAGCTGTTGCCACGATGCCTGGCTGCAGCGTATGCCATCCTGGGAACACATCCCTTCTCTCGTCTTGATGTTCTCATTGTTCCTGCAGGGTTCTCCAGTCTAGGCATGGCCAGGTAAAGACAGTTGAGTCTCTCTGGTAAAGTGGTGGAAGTTTCAGCTCAGTCTAAAGGGGAGGGCATCAGCAAACAAAACAAAAATGAAAAGTTTCTTGAGAGTACAATTTTTGTTTTAGGCGAAGAAAAGAAAAATCACTTGACTTGTAGAAAAGACACACCTTCCTCCACTACCCTGTCATGCCTAAGGTTTAAGGGATGGGAGAGAGCATTTAAAATCAATATGTATGCTAAGGTAAATGACGCTGTATAGCGTCCTTTGGAAGAATCTTGTGGATCATCTGAAAAAAGTAATTTGACATCACGAATGTGAGACCTGACTCTGCAGACCAAAAATAAGGTGTCTGTGGGTTTGTTAACCAGCGTGATGAAGAATATGAGACTTAAGCAAAACTGATGGTCGGCTACGATATAAAAATACAGCTTCTTTTTTGATTTTACAAACCACCCATAGACACACACACATTCACATGCATATAAAACTAGTGTGATAAGGAATGTGAGACTGAAGCAAAAAATATATACATTCATATATACAAATTTGTCTCTATACTGTATATATGCATACGTGTATATATACAAATATGTATATAATACATATTTATATATGTACATACAGTATATACATGTATTACATATATGTATTTTTACGTACAACTCTGCAGTAGTGACAAATGCTGTTCTTTTCTGACTACAGTAAGTGTCTGCTCTCAGTTAATTTTCACTGTTTTGACTGTTGAAAAAAAAGAAAGAACGTCACTGTTGCCACAAAGAAGCAGAACTCAACACATTGTTGTTTCTCTTTGTCTTCCTGCTTTTGGTTTTTATAGAACAGTTTGGTCGGTTTGATTAATGACATGCTTCACATCTCGGTCTTCTCCACTTTGAAATTGTTCACTGAATTAAGGAGTTCGGCAGTGACTCTCCCTTAACTCCTTTGAGTCTCTTGTCATCACTCCTCTTTCCTCAACATTACGATTTTCAACGCCGCCCTCCGGGACGTGTCTCATGACATTTTTAGGATATTCCTTGTATGTTTAAAAGAAATATACTGTATGTTTTTGGACAAGAGAGGTACCATTAAATTACTGTAGCCTGACTGGCCAGGGAAAATAGCAGATACATTGAGTTTGACAGACAATGGAGTTTTCAGCCTCGTTCTAGGCCTCCTTGTAAAACTCTTTTCCATGCACTGTCCCTGTCTTTTTTCATTGTCACGTCACCAACTTTTATTATGTTTTTCATCTCTTCCATATTTTGTCTTTTTTTCCTCACCTTTTTA